GGTTGGTGCCCTTTTAAATATGGAGAGCGATAAGCAGCATTTTCGACATATCTTACTGTTTTACTTCAGAAAGGGTAAAAATGCTGTTCAAGCCAGAAAGAAATTGACTGTTGTGTATGGAGAAGGTGTGTTGACAGTACGCCAGTGCCAGAACTGGTTCGCTAAATTTCGATCCGGCAATTTTGATGTCGAAGATGTACCACGTTCGGGAAGGTCGGTTGAAGCTGATAAAGACGCGATAAAGGCATTAGTTGATGTGAACCGGCGAATAAAAACACGTGAGATCGGTTGAGGTTAAATTTATCAAATTCAACAGTTTATGACCACTTGAAAGGCCTGGGATTATCCTCGAAGCTCGATGTATGGGTTCCCCATGTTCTCACAGAGAGAAATCTGTGTCGCCGCATTGACGTCTGCGATTCGCACTCAAACATCACGAAAATGATCCGTTTTTGAAGCGCATCATCACTGGGGACGAAAAGTGGGTTGTATACAACAACGTCAAACGCAAGAGGCCATGGAGCCAAAAAGATGAACCAGTTCAAACCAAAAAAAGGTGATGCTGTCTGTTTGGTGGAATTTTAAAGGAATCGTTTTTTTTTTTGAGATTTTACCGGATAACACAACGATTAATTCGGAAGTCTACTGTCATCAGCTGGACAAACTGAATGATGCACTTCAACGGAAAAGGTCAGAACTAATCAACAGGATAGGTGTAGTGTTTCACCAAGACAACGCGAGACCTCACACAAGTTTGGTCACTCGCCAAAAGCTTTTACAGCTTGAATGGGATACAATGCTACACCCACCATATTCTCCANATTTGAGGTAACCTATAGTGGTTAAAATAGAAAATGAATTAATTCAAATTAATATTTAATATTAACCACTAGGAATTTCAATGTTTCAAATAGTATTGGATATAATGCCCTTATAAGTACGGTTAGTCCTTGTTATTGTCACTTCTCGTGGCTTAGAGACGTAAAGCCAAAAGTCATGGATTCGATTCCTGGCGAGGGTGTAATAACAGCAACAAATTTTCCCTCATTAATTTGAATTAATTAATTACCTCTATTTTGTTATTTGATCACTTTTAATGTGTTATAGGTACAGTCAAACATTTTCATAGTTTAATTGTTTGATTTAAATGTTAAGTGCAGGTTTTTTATCCATATATTTAAAGTACTACTAGAATTCAAGTATTTCCAATTCAACGTAAATTATAAGATGTTAACCATGCATCAATAAAATGCGGTTTTATAGAAGGTGAATTGTTGCGTTTCAAAAGCACATTAGAATAGTTCGCCAAAGTTGGGACTCATGAGTTTACAAGGTATTAAGGTATATTTAATATTATCGTTGTTTTAGTAGAAAATTAGTCTAGTACTTAATCAAATTTTCATTGCGTATTTACTAGGTAAGCTAAAATGTGAAATGTTCTTGTATAAATTAATGAAATAATCAATCAAAACTTATTAGAGTAGATAGCTGTCGCAACTGTTTAGTTCTACCTCAAATTACTTAATAATGTAGGTAAAAATTTTACAAAACCCGAGTTCCCTAAAACTTAAATTTAATACATCTTTTACTCCTTTCCTACAGTCTTTAAAGGAAAAATATAACATTTGATTATTTTTTACACGAAAAACTGAGCTGCAAACAAGCAAACCTATATTTATAGTGATATAAAAATATCAAGATCCTGCAAATCTGATAAATACAATAATTACACGCACAAAATGTATTTGAATAAAATTATGTAATATTTTGTTCTTGTATAAAATGCAAAAAGTTCGTAGTTCTAATCTATAATTTATGCGTACCTATGCGAATTGTATTTTCTTTTGTGTCTGTCTTTCTCTGCAACATATGCGTAAATCTCATCGAGTTAAGAAACCTATTCGCTAGGCAGGGATTGTGTTAAACTTGTGTTAATTTATCAGGAATAAGAAAAGGTCAGTTTTTATCACGCAAGCCACGGAGCGTTTTGTATATAGTAAGCCTTGACATGAAGTATTAATCAGAATACAAACAGAAACCAGAAAATCCAATATACATTTTACTTTTCCAACTTTTTCTTTTAATCAAGTTAGCACCTCATACACCGGCTTTGTTAACTCATTCCTAATTTATTGAAATCAAATTTAACTTTCTCATTTCAATTTAAATAAACTATAAATTCCCAAGGCTGTACGCATCTTGTTATATACGTATATTGAAAATTCGTAAAATTAATGAAATATGCCAATCATATTTTCAGACAATAGGGTTAATAAAACTGATACGAAAATCGAAGTTACTGTATCCTAAATAGATCAACATATACCTTAAGTAAATGTTTATAAGAAACAGAAGTCCTTCAAGCTCATTTTAAATGCTTTTATTGCAATATTAAAACTATTGGAGGAATTCTGATTTACAAACGTGAATGAAAATGATAATGAAATATTTAAATATGTTAAGTTTTTATTACCTTTTCGTGTAGTTTGACATAAGCCATTAGTAGGTGCAGTATTATCTCCACACAAGCAATATTTTTTTGAAGGGTCTCTAATATCTGCTATACAGCTTGTTTGGGGTATTGGTTTGCATTGGGTATGATTTATGCACGATTTGGCTGAAACTGAGGACATAAAAGACTAATCCAAAAATTATTTCTGAAGAAATTACGATAAGCCGACTTATTGTCTATACCACATAACTAAACACGACTATCGCTTAGAAAGTACAAGTTTCAAGAAAACAGAAGCTCTTTTTAAAATACGGCTATAACGCACGCTTGGTTTTAACGGAAGAATCTATACTTGGATATAGCAAACGATCGGCTTTAGCAAACGTTTTCAGCAGGTCCGATCGGTTATAATAAACCAATATTTTATTGTTTTGAAACAAACCAAATACTTGAGATTTGTTTAGGTGTTTGAAAGTAGCAAGCCCAAGTTGTGAAAATACTTCGTGAGAAACTCAATATCAATTGTGATAATTTGGTTTCGGTTTATTTTGTAAATTAGTGCGTTAAAATGAAAATGCGTGTTGTCGGTTCGTGATGCGCAACTAAATTGTTCTCACCCAATTCGGCAGCGAAGAGAATAAGTGTAACGCTGAATGCGTGAAGGAAAATCATATTGGAAGCGTTTCAACAAATGCAAAGCCTTTACTGATTGCCCGGTGTTTTATTTACGAAACAAATATTGAAATAAGATGGTACAGAATGGTGCATCAAGTTTGAATTAGATCAAGATAAAAGCCATTCGTACCAGGATGGAACGGTGGTGGTGTTTGCGGATGGATGCTCTGCGATTTGCCGAAAGTTGTAAGACCGTGAGCGTCGTTTAATTTTATCAACACTGATACTATCGAAAAACACAGCGTAATGTACAAACAATTCATGATGACAATTATTGCAACCGTAACAATTCACAGCCGTGGTAAGAGTGAGAAAAAGAAGTTTAAAAAATGCGATTTCTTTTGGTAAGAAGGGGCGCTTGCGTTAAACCTTTTGCTTACATCATACACGTTACCTGATGTGGTGGTAGGTAGTTCGTATTTTGACGAAGGACATTTTGCAGGCAGAATTGGACAAGTTGGCGCCCCAGATTGCCGAAAGTCACGCAATTCATTACGTCATAATCCTTAGTCCTTACACACCTCTCCCCCGACCGCACTTTCTTATCGGGCAAAAGGAAGTAAGATGTTTCCCGTAATATATTTCTCGCCAAATCTCATTACTTTTGATTTAATCAAAGGTCAAGGTGTAAACACCTCCTTTTATAATGTCTCAACTGCAGAATATCATACGTCATCGATCGATAATAGCGTAAACTACAAAAGCCACTTTGCAAATGAAAGTGCATTTATAACAAAAATAACTCGGGCCATAACTTTGGTTAACTCCCATGCAGGTCATTTATTTATCATGGATATGCATATTTTTATTTTTAATATTTCGATTTCAAAATCGCGTATAATTACATGCAATTTCATTTCGATTATCAGGAAATATTCAGCTCAAGGGGCGAGCATTGCAAAATTGGGGAAGAGGCACCCCCGCCGACTCACTATCCGAGAGACGAGTTACAATGTGGTTCCTCGACACATTTCATAATTAGTATTAGCGTATTGTTCTTGATAACAGTATTACTTGCGGCTGTTAGCTGACATTACATGGACTGTACATTAAATAACATTCTGTCGTGTTCTTTTCGCAATATGTGTCCAAGGCGCAATTAGTTTGGACCATATTTCATGACGAAAAGAACCCCCAACGTCACACACACACTTGCAAAATTTAAACATTAAACAAAAGACATGCTACACTACAATTTTTTTTTACATAACTAAACTACTACAAATTATCCGAATTATTCAAAGGCTACCTACTTATATGACAACGACAACGTGCCATAAATTATCACGTCGAAAATTGATTAACTTCAGTATTGTTTAAAAAACAAAAAATTAAGGAATGCTTTAAGAGTAGGTTTTGTTTTATTGGAACATGGGTGCAATTTTCTTTCCCCTGCATAATGATTGATTTGCGTTTGTGATAACGATATATCATGCTACCACCACAAAAAGGGTAGACACACACACATACGAGAAATTCTAATGCCTACTTGGAGAATAAAATATTACCCGCACTTCAACCAATATCGGTCTGATTTTTGCCCCTCTGATAGAGGCCGTGCAATGTGAAGCATTTAAGGTCATAAAACTTCTTGATCCAAGACGCTTACCATGGCGTGCTGGTGAGATCGAAAAAACTCCGCGTTTGCGGTTTTAACGAATGAAAAGCAAAAATCTGATCATTTTTAACATCGTTCTTTCTTTTTTTGTGTAGATGCTTGATGTTAAAAAGAAAATTCTTAAACTTTCCGTGCTTTTTAACGTAAAGAAAAAGTAATTTACATGAAAACGCTGTTTCCTGTATTTAAAATAATTTTTTTTTTTAAGTAATCGTGTTCAAATTATTAAACTTCCATTCCATTTCGTGATTTAAACGTAGTAGCTGTAAAAATTACTAGGTACCTAAACTTGAAATCTACAAGTGCATTGGTGTTATTATGGCGTTATCACTGACATGCGTAAACGAAGCATATTTTATACTTGTAACGCCGTATTTTTTTAAAGTATATTTTATATTTGTATAAGGAAAAGTGATGACTATATTTTTTGTATTTTCCTACAGCTTATTTAAAGGTTTTTATATTCGCTGTATTTTTACGTTTAATGCTAGTTTGAAACCGGCACAAATATTTATACATGTGGCTGTGTTTAGAATATGTTGTCTAGATATATTATTACTATATGTATTTGATAAGATAATTTTACCACGTATGGGCGTAATTTGTGACGTACAGTATACATATATATATACACATTTGAAATGAATTAAGCGTTTATGTGTATATATTAATAGGCTGTGTCAAAAAAACTCGATATTTTTTTTTCTTGCTCTCCCCTCAAAATATCGTAAAATATGTCTAAACAAATATCCTGTTAGAAGCGGAGCTCATAATTTCAATTTTAAGAGGTCCATCATCGAATCTGAAATTTTAGCGTTTAAGAAACACAGAATAATGATTTTTTACCGTATTTATTCTTGCAACCCAAGAAGAATTTTTTTTTCTATAAAATCCATAGCTATATCTTATAGTACACTAAATTTGGAACAAAAAATCTCATTTTTTCATGATTTTTTATTGGATTTTTGTGCAAACATCAATATTTTACTTACAAAAAGTTAATAATACAAAAATAATGACTTTACACGCCTGTAACTTTTCAAGTATTGACGATACAAAAAAAAATATATATAACTTTTTTGTAGGACATCAAATAAGCTACAAAATTGCTATTTAACTTTTTCGTCTAACTTTAATAGTTTAGCTGAAAAAAGCAAAAAACGGTAAATTTTGATTTCAAAGCTCTGTAAAAAAATCAAATAATGAAAATGGAAATTCGGCTCAATGAGATTTTTTGGTCCAAATTTAGTGTACTATAAGATATAGCCGTGATATTTACACGAAAACTAATTTTGTTTTTTTAATAACTTTTGAAAGCACTTCCAAAATTAAGTGAAAATTATTATTCA